TTTCTGACGCACCTCGTGCATTTAGTGAGAAAACGTCCCGGGTTGCAGATACAATTGGCTTCAGAAGTCAGTTTTTGGACAGATCCTCTGACCGGTCAGGAGTCTTTGGCAGGTCATGACTTCTATATTTGGAGCCACTTAAAGCAACGCCAGATCGACCTCAAGCCAGCCGCCACAACCACACATCTCGCTTTCTCCCCTTCGCACCACAGCGACAGCTGGGTGTGGTGTTATTACGGCCTGCGATGTCAAACAGTGTGTTTGGGCAAACTTGTGATTCCCATCCTTCAACAACCAGTTCCAACCCAACTCTTCTCTACTTTAACATTTGCATACCCCGTCACGGAACCTGCAGTCGTCCTGTTCCGGAGCAGCCGTAAAAATGCACGTTTGCGCTGCGCGACAAGGCCGAGGCGCGGCAGGCCCGGCGAGCGTAAGCATATGGCTCTAGCATGTGCTCCTTAATGAGAGATTTACTCACATCGACCGCGAAATGCGTGGCTCATTTGAGGAGAGCTTACATGTGTTTTGTGCAAGTGGGCTCATTTGAAGGATTATTGGCTGTGTTCAGGCGCTCTCATAACCTGTTCAGAACTTGCATGAATCGCTTGCAGGAAAACTAAAAACGGTTTCAGGTACAGATGATGTCCTGTTGTTATTGTGGCAATGGGGAGAGCGGGGCACACCACGATCATAGATTTTTTTTTTTTTTTTCCCTGTGTGGATGTCGTGTGGCCATACAGAATCCACATTTGTTTGTTCGACCTGTGCAGGCTTGCAGTTTAAACGCACAAGCAGTCGGCCTCATAAATCTGCGGGACTCCAGTGTCAGGCCCCAAATTAGCTTCCCTTCTATCACAAAGACGTCTCTCCCACCCAAAATTTCCATCCTACGTTTGGGATCTTATCCAAGGAACTTCACTCTCTGTTCTTTTCTCTTCTTTTTTTATGGGATGAATCAGTCGCTACTGTGTGCGTGCATGACAAAACGATACACACTCTACTCTACTCGATGGTATTTTGATACCGCTTGATTATACGTCTGTGCTCGGCATTTGGCATTATTTCCCCTTTCAACTCCAGTGAATGCTGACTGTTTGGCTTGGCTTCACATGAAAAGTGCAGATGTGGCCTCTGGACGGGGTGAAAAATGGTTCAGTGGATAAATAGTCTTCACTTCATGAAATAATGCATCTATTCACACGCCCTCGAATGAATGAAGGTGTTAAATCCAGAGCGAAATGGAGCTCGGGTGAAATTATTGCATCAGCGGCTGCAACGGAACAGTTGAAGAGCAACATTTTAACATTTCTGTGGAAAGCCAGATTGGACAGAATGCATGGCCACCGTATGAATCCATGTTCTCACCACATAAACTGGGAAGATTTGTTCTGACGATGCACACACACATCAGCAGCCCCATTTGCCTTGCAGCTGGTGCAAGTATTCTCCCGATGCGTTCGCTTAGCATGATTTTTTTTTTTTTCAAATCAGGTCATTCGATGATGGTCAACAAATGTTTGCTTTATCAAAGATGCAAGTAAAATTTTTTTTTTTTTTTTGCGCTGATGGGGAATCTGCCTTCGTCCAGGTTTTCATAATATAATTTAATACCGATAGCATGATGTGTAATATATTTAATAGTATTTATGAATTGTGGGTTAGGTTCTATAACAGGCGGATTTTTTTTTTTAAACACTGGAACGTCAGAGCTGTAAATTATAGCGCCTGGTAAAAGGCGTACGACGCAAATTTTTATAAACAAAATGTCAAAAACCTGACGCGCGACAAAAAAAGGGAAGATTTGTTTAATTCGGCGTCAAATATTCGTCGAGGGATCTCTGTTGAGAATTGTCCGTTGACCATTTTTGTTTTTTTGTTTTGCAAATCCGAAGGGTCATTGAACGCAACTAAAGTGAATGTCGCGACCATGTAAGGAAGCGATGACGAATTCGTCAAACGCACCAAATTATATTGGTGTCCTTTCCCAATGTTCCCGACTGAATCTTGGAGTCGAATACAAAGTGCGAAACGCAGCGTCGGGAGTCCTGCAAAGACGAGAAGAGGGTGGGAGGCAAACTTTTTTCCCTGAAAGTTTGTGTAAGCGTTCTAGGCGGGGTTACTGTAAGCTTGCAGCATGGACTGAGAGTAACAGGACGGCGAGCGATTGCGATGCAGCACCACGCCGAGCTTCCATCCAATTTAAATAAGATCTCCGCTTCTTCTGTGTGAAAAAAAAAATCATCATGTACTCCCCGTACTGCTTGACACAGGTAAACTGCCTCCTCTTGTTCCTCTCGCTTTTCCGTCGGTTTCAACGGGGCACGCCGGCTCTGCTCCGCGCTTGCTTTGTAGATTCTATTTGACAAAAATGTTGCCTTGTGCTTGAGTCGGAACTCGCACAAACTTGGGCTGCAATAACTTTCTCTTTTGTCGCGAGGCATTCGTCGTATTTATTTATTTTTTCTTTGAGGTGGGGGGGGGGGGTGATCTTAGGCTC